TGTTTAAACACACAGGATATTATTATATAACTAAGCAGCTGGGAAGATTAATCGTAATTAAAAATAAAAGGGAAAACACACAGTACACCAAGGCAGGACTGTTTAATGAGAAAAGGGTGACTCAAAGAAAACAGTATTTGTGCAGGGGAATAAAAAGTCAACCCACAGACTTATTGAATAACAATAAAGACATTCTGTCTCACATCTGATTGAAAAGGCACTGTTTATCCAAAGTTATGATTACAATAGAAATAATGTACATAACATCCATGAGAACATACACAAAATATATATTATGGGCCATTTGTGGAGAAGTACTTATTTTCAAATCTCAAACCATTCTTAAAATCAAAACATTTTAACATGGTCTATGATTTATTTATCTTTCTATCCTCACTTTTCCTTCTTCACACCCTTCTGTCCAATCTCGCACCAAATCCTAGTTTCTTGAACACCATACCCATTGCCCAAACGCCACATCTTCGATACACACTTCCAGTTCACCCTTTACCTATCAGCCCCAATCTCAGTTAACATTTCCTGAGAGCCCACTACCCCACATCATATTACAGCATGTTCATTTGGACCACAAAGGTTTTTGGAGTGACATCAGGATCTACAGTAGGTTCTGGTAATACAAAGATGAATAAAATATTATCTTGCACACAAGGAACTCGGCTGAATGAGGGAGAAACAGGTAATCAGTAGTTGAAATATAGTCTGCATTTTGGAAGAAGTACGGCTGTGCTTCATGAAGCCAGCCTCAAGTTGCAGATCACTTGTTATTAACCCACCATCCACGAATTTTCCTAAACCACTGGTCGCAAACTCAAGTGTTTATAGAGTAAGCAAGTAACATGAATGTATGGATGGGCTGAGAGATAACAGCTCATGATGGGTCCTGTCTAAAGGCATTAAATTTCTCATTCTTTTTCAAATGCCATGCCTGCAAAATGAAATATGTCTGAAGGCCTAATTTAATTCAGGCTGCCAGTTTGTGACTTCTGTGTAATAATATTAACATTTACTGTTTACTACATGTAGGTTACCGTTCTAAGCACTTTACATATATTAACGCATTTGTACCACACAACTGTTGAGGTTCTCAAATTTTGCCTATTTGTAAAATGGAATAACTGAGGCATGGGATAACTTGAGATTACACAGCTGTTAGGGTAGCAGAGCTAGGACTGAACCTAGGGTCAGGCTCCTCCAGAGTCCATAGTCTTAAAAGAAGTGTTTCATATCACTGTACTCTACTGCTCTGTATCTAAACCCTTTGAATTTCTTTTTCACCTTACACTACAGAATGAGTCATGTATTTAATAACCTATTGTGCCAAATATTCATCTTTGTTGAACAAATTCTTTTAACTGGTATATACAGATTTGAGGGAAAAATTCACGTCCACCTATCTATTCCTTGTTCCACATACTTAGTCACCTTCCCTGTCTACTACTATCTTTCTCATTTGAAGAGTTTAAATTTTTAAGAAATAACTTTGCAGTTACCTGAGAAACATATTTTCACTACAGGAAAAAGTAGTAGGTAAAGTGAAGTGTCCAAATTATCTTAAATGTATTCCCCCAGTTCCTCTCCCCTCCTTCTGACCCTTCCCAATCCTGGCTACGTGTGGTTTCTTGCTCAGTCCTCCTTACATGAACAAACAGTAGGATAATGTTTTATTTCCAGTAGCCATCTGTATAATGTTTACAACTCTGTGGATCTTTCTAGACAAGGCAATCAATTAAGCCAGTGTCTTCAGAGAAGTCTAATTTATCTGAGCACAAATCCAAGGGCACCTAGGGATTTGCTGAAATGGGCAAATATAAACTCCCAAGTGTTTCTCTTAATTCAAAGTGTTTCACTAGACCAGAGGATGTGGCCACTTTTTATTCACAAACTTTCCTAAGAACTCTGGACATTACATTCTCTTCTTTTTGTTTAAGTGAGTTAAAGCCAAAAAATTAAGTTAGACCATCCATTCTGCCGCCTGGCCCTTCCACATACTACTCCTTCTGCCAGTACCTCCACACAATAACATCCGCACCCCCGCCCCAAGCCCTGGCTCCTACCCAACCTTCCTGGCAGTACTCACATGCCACCTCCTCTGGGAAACCTTGACTTCCAGGTGGCTTAAGTGCCCCTCCTATATATATCCAGTGACCAGTACTTAACATCTATTTCAATTGCTTATTTCTCTCTCCTATTTTGTAGTTGGAATTTATGCAGCAATTACTTTTTTTTCTTTTTAACCTAGTTTGTACCTGAGATTTATGTGGTAATACTTGTTTCTGAAAAAAGTTGTGAGCCTTTAAACGTCGCGGTTTATTTTACAATCTCAAGAATGGTAAAAATAACGGGCTTTGGCATTGAACTAATGTGGGTTTGGCATCCATCTCTAGAACTAATGGCTGTGTGACCTTGAACTTAATATCTCTGAGTCGATTTTATCATTTGGGAAATAAAGGCCTACCTCACTGTGAGGATTAAAGCATGAAAATGCAAAGTATACCACCTGTCCAAGTGCATGGTCAATAATTGTTAACTACTGTTACATTTCTCAAGAGTAATTTAACTTCACCAAAAGAAGAGATTTAAACAAAAGAGGAGAAAGGAGAATACTGCCAATTGATTGGGAAAACTTATTTCATGATATGCACCTTTACCTACATTGAAGTTAATTTGTAATTAATACTTAACATTTGTTATCTGTTGCTCTCCACCTATTCAGTATCAAAATACCTCTAAAATAGCTTGAAAATTTATCTGACTCTTTTAAAATACTCTAATAAAAACCCAGAGATTTGAAAAATAAAAAAGTATATTGGCACCATTTAAGGGAATATCTTTAATGCCAGGAAATTAATAGTATGTAAATGTCACTAAATAAGACTCCATTTTAATCTCTAGGAGATTGGTAACTTTAGTTCATCCAGATCTTTAAGCATCAAATTTAAAACGGCTTAGAAAGTATTTTGAAATTATTTACTTAATAATAAATTGGCTTCTGAGCCAGTAAAGAATCCAGTAATCCAGCTAAGTGTTTAAACCCTTCTTTTTAAGACCATTAGACAGGAACCAAGATGCTTAGAAATTGACTGCTGCCAAATTTAACCTGGAAAGACCTGAACACAATGCTTACTAACAAAGACACTCTCTAATGAACTCTTCAACTCTGGATGATTCAGAATCCCAAGAGGAAATGTATACCATTTCCTTGTACTTGTCTTTAAAGATAAGCTAAATGGCTCTCTAAAGCCACAGAATTAAACAAGAGTATATTCCTTCAGCATCAGTATCAACTAAGAGTACATTAACATACACAACCACATCGTACACTCATTCAATTATACATTTATTATTCTCTCCTTGCTCTAAATCAAAAGCCACTCTGGGTACTGGGGAATGCCAAAATGAATGAAACAACGTATTCTTGCCCCCCCACCCCCAAGCTCTCAGTTTAAATTTTATTTTCAAAAATGTAATATTTTAAGCCATCACTAACAACTTAAGTAGGCATAATTCATGGTTGAAACCAAGGATTTAAGAGAAATGGGACAGAGGAAAAGTACACCACAGGTGTTAATGGGGCAGGAGACAAGACCACTGAAAATGCAGAAAAAAGGAAACTGTGGCACAGTCCTGGTCTTGGGAGTAAGAGACTCACTCAGATTCCAAATCTACTAATTACCAGCAATATAAACAATTTTGGGTTTTGCAACTGGTACATATTTTATAATTTAAAATTTTAATTACCAAAAATGTATCTTATTTCATAGGGTTTTTAGGAAGATCAAATGGGTATGTGTGTGTGTGTATATATATATATATATGTAGTATTAGTACAGCGCTTATCACTAGGAAGCTCAAGGTATACTAGGTATTTTATAATTTAAAATTTTAATTACCAAAAATGTATCTTATTTCATAGGGTTTTTAGGAAGATCAAATGGCTATGTGTGTGTGTGTGTATATATATATATATGTAGTATTAGTACAGCGCTTATCACTAGGAAGCTCAAGGTATACTAGTTTTTAAAAATGTACATCCCCTTAACGAATGTTAAATATTGTTAATATAATCTACAGTAGTACAAATTTTGTCAATACAATTTTGTTCATGACCATGATAACACTGAATGACAGACTGAAGCAGTGAGGTTAATAAAAAAGTAAGAGCTGCCAGACCTAAAGCCAAATTAGCTCCAGCTCTCTTGCCAGCCACTGCTTTACCTTAAAGAAGTTATTTTATCATCATGGATAAATTTTTACCAAGGTTGTAAAGATTAAATGTTAGGGATATAAAGCCCTTAACATAGTGACTGATAATCCACAAATGATAACTTCCCTCTTTGTGACCCCTAAATAAATGCATTTTCCAGCTGTACTCAACATCTGAGTTTGGCTACTCAGCACGCAAACCCCTTCCCTAACTTGAGTTCGCTCCCCTAATTGGAGTCCCCTCCCTTTTCCCTCCATAAGGGAGGATGACATTCCCTCTCCCTGCCCTCTGGCTGGAGCAGGGCCAGCAGCCTAAGCACAGCTTAGGCTCCTTTCTGAAGCTCCAACTTCCCAGAGGCCGCACGGCAGACACTGTCCAGCTGGTGGTCTCGCTCCCCTAATTGGAGTCCCCTCCCTTTTCCCTTCATAAGGGAGGATGACATTCCCTCTCCCTGCCCTCTGGCTGGAGCAGGGCCAGCAGCCTAAGCACAGCTTAGGCTCCTTTCTGAAGCTCCTTTCTGAAGCTCCAACTTCCCAGAGGCCGCACGGCAGACACTGTCCAGCTGGTGGTGCCAATGGCAGTGGCTGTGGCAGAATCTCAGCAGTGTCCTGGCACCCTAGTCCAATGGCAACTTCACATCAATTCAGTGGGCTACCTGACATCCATCCAATAAATTCATTTTCTCCTTAAGTAAACGGAGTTAGTTTCTGTCATTTTTAAACAAGAACCTTAACTAGTACACTTTTGTAAAACTAATAAACTAAAAGAAAATTAATACAAGTGCCATGAAATTATTTTAATATCTTTTTCTCCATGACCGAATATACAGAGATAATGGAAGTAATGCATTCTTCTGCTGTAAAGATGGGTGGAATATATCAAAATCCACTCGTTGAATTTTCTTTAAATAGTCCTCTAAAGAAACCTGGAAAAAGAGAAACAGTTGTCACTAGATCATAAAATGATCATCTTTAAAAGAAACTAAAGAAAATATTAAAGCTATTTTGGTTTTCCTGAGACGGTCTTCTACATAACAAAAATGTAAATGAGAATTTAATAAGGAAGAGAAAAATAAATATATCTCTAAAGAAGTTTCTGTTAGGCCAGTAAAAGATTATTACAGATCTAGAACTAGAAATATCAAGCCTCTTCTGTTCATAATATATAATGTTCTAGTCAAAATGTAAAAGATTAGAGAAATTGTGTTTGCCTGGTCTTATCACTAGATTCTCTGGAACACGAAAAGGATGTTTCAATCAGGGAAAATGAGACACGCCCCCAACTTCCACCCTCCCCAAAACAGTGTGCCATGAGAGGGACCTCAAGTTGTCTTTTTAAAAAATTACTTTGTTTTGTGGAAAAAGTTTAATGGGTCTCCATGTTCTTGCTGGAAAACATGATTTTCAACCTGGAAGAATAATCACAGGTCCCTGTAAATGTCACCCCATCCTTCCCCTACCACATAAAACTTAAAGTTTTCACCAGGATAAGAGCAGGATGATATGCAGTACTCTTTATTTTGGGGTACTCAGGTTTTTTTTATTAATTTATAAATATTTATTTTACTTTAACAATCTTTTTATTAAACAGGGAACTCAGTTTTGCGCTTCACAATTCTAAAAGGCACCACTCCGTTCTCAGTCCATGTGCACAGCGCCCCCTAGAGTTCTGCAGCACAGAACCTGGGTAACCCACACAGGGATTATGCCTACAGATTCTTTAGAATATTATACATGAGAAGAAAGAAAACAAGAAGTATTCTATTTTCTTACAGACTTTTTCCTATGCATTAATAAACATGAGTGAGCATACAAACAAATTCAGTATCTACTTTTTAAAACCCTAAACTTATATATATACAACAGGAGATATGTGCATGAATGTGTACAATGCCATGTTTTATGAGTATTTGTAAACAACTTGGAAATAACCTAGGAATTCTTTGACCAAAAAAAAGATAAATTGTTCATACAATATTATATTGCAGTGAAATGAATGTACTATAGCTAGATGCAATAACATGCACAGATCTTAGAAACTAAGAGTGTGTTTTAGAAGACATAAACAGAAAATGATCATTTTTATAAAGCTTAAAAACAAAACTAGGGCTGGCCAGTTAGCTCAGCTGGTTAGAGCACAGTGTTACAACACCAAGGTCAAGGGTTCAAATCCCTGTACTGGCCAGCCACCAAAAAACAAAAAGAAGAATAAAACTAAACAACATGTTGTTTAGGAATACATAAAATGAGGATAGCTTTTTGGAATAAAAGCAAGGGAACAACAAACACAAAACTTAGGATAGCTACCTGGGAGAGGAAGGCAGAGGCATGGGGATGAGATGGGGAAAACATTATGAACACAATTTAATGGTGACCTTTTAGTCCCTGGATTGAGTAGTGAGTTCATGGGTATTTATTATGTTACATTTTGTAATACATATATGTATATATAGATATATCATACTCATTTGTATATGGCAAAAATTTTAAACGTTAAAAAAGAATAAAAGAAAAAAACTTTGAAAATATTTTAGTGTATACTTCTTTCATGTTCTCCGCTTCTTTTTTTTGCAAAAAGGAGCTTGTACTATTCATATTCTGTAACTTGCTTTTTTTATCACCTAATATATTGTGATCAACTTTCCATCTCTAAGAATTCTATTACACTAATTTTAATATCTTTTATTATTGAATTATAAGGAACAGTTTATGAAGATACAGTCACATGACAGATTATATAGCAATTATTATATTTGTAAACATATTTAATAATGTGATAAAATGATCAATAAACAGAACACTGACATATAAAGTGTGATTTCAACTATACACAAAAAACCATTTAAAAAAGAACATAATGAATAATGGTTATCTCTGGGTGCTGGAATTGTAGGTGGTGGTTATTTTCTTCTAATTCTCTTTTTTATATTGTCTGAATCTTTATTATGAGGAAGTATTACTTTTACAATTAGGAGAAAATTCCATGAAAATACAGATGAAATATGATCTCAAAATTAAACATAGCCCAACTGGACATTTACAAATTAGGGTTTGGTTCAAAGGAAAGTTTGATTAATGGTAAATAAATTGTTCTAGGTAACAAATTCATTATAAAATTCTCAAAGACATTACACTTTCTGAATATGTCTTCTTAAAACCTCATCTATGTAGAACATATTAGAATAGTCATTTTCAAATAGTTTTTAAAATACAAAACCTTCTCTTTGTTCAAAATAATTAACAGACGCCCCACATATAAAATAAATAAGAAGAGGTCTATGACAGAAGTAGTCCCTCAGGAATTGCCATGTTGTCCCTCCAGTTTCTCTTGACACAGGATGGCAACTGAGAGCTGGAACCCAGCCCCAGAGCTTCTGATTCAGTAAGTCTGCAGTGGGGCCCAAGATCTGCACTTCTAACAAGTTCTCAGGTTGAGGTGAATGTTGCTGGTCCGGGGACCACACTTTGAGAACGACTGGTCTAAGAAAGTGGTTCTTAGGCCTAGCTGCACTTTACAATTACTGGGGGAGCTTTTAGAAAGTATCAATGCCTGGGTCCAATCACCCAGATATTATGATTTAATTGCTGTGGTGGGAGGAGGGGGGAGGGTTGTCCAAGCATGATTTGTTTTGTTTTAAGTTCCCCAAGTGATTCTAAGAAGCAGCCAGGGTTGAACACAACCTTTTTCACAGAAGTGAGTAAAACAAAGTCCTTAACTTTTATGGAGGTTACTTAGTATGTTAAACAGCTGATAGTAAGGGGAGGGTTGTCCATGCATGATTTGTTTTGTTTTAAGTTCCCCAAGTGATTCTAACAAGCAGCCAGGGTTGAACACAACCTTTTTCACAGAATTGAGTAAAACAAAGTCCTTAACTTTTATGGAGGTTACTTAGTATGTTAAACAGCTGATAGTACATCCAAGAAATAAATAACCATTAAAAAAGGGTGATATAGACAATATGTGTTGACATACACAAAAAATACACATGATTATATGCACATAAAAGGTCCAGAAAGATACATTATCTCTGCATAGGGTGCAACTGTGAGGGTTCTAAATTTCTTCTTCTGCATTCTCTTACATCATGTGAACATTTAAAATATTAATGTATTACTTTTTTTTTTCAGGGGGAGGGAGGGGCAGCTGGCCAGCACAGAGATCTGAACCCTTGACCTTGGTGTTATCAGCACCATACTCTCCCAAGTGAGCTAACTGGCCAGCCTGAATGCATTGCTTTTATAGTAAGCAAACCCAATAAAGAGACCAAATGATTTCAAACACACAGACCTGAAATCTAGACTAGAAAATGTGAAGGGAGAGACACAAACCTTTTTAGAGAAAAGAGGGAGAAGATATGTTTGGTGTTATAGATAACACATGAGATTACAATTTTCAGAGATTACAAATCTTTGAACCTTGATTTCCATCTATACAATGAAGTTAATCATACCTAGGTTTATTCCTAGGAAGACTAGGAATAATGTATGGAATGGCCTAGATCAGAGCCTGTCCTACAGTAGGTGCTGAGTAATTAGTAGCAATTATCATTTCTCTATATATTTTAGAACAATGGTTCCTGGATCCAGCTACACTTTAGAATCACCTGGGGAACTTTTTAAAATCACAGATTTGCATGGTGCTGATAACCAAGGTCCAGGGTTCAATCAGCATAGTGTTGATAAAAATCATAAATTCTCCTAGGAACTGGCCCCTCCTCAATCCCAAGAGTCTTATTTAATAGGAAGACCCCAGAAACATATATTTTTTAAAAGTTTTCCAGGTTATTCCAATGCAGCTAGCTCAGCACTGATCTGTGAACCACTATTCAGGAAACAGTGCTACAATATAGTCAGGTCACTATGGAGAAAAAAATTAATAGAATAAAAAGTAATACTTATGCAGCTATAAATAGCCTAACAATCCTACAAGGTAGTTTCTCCTATTATTCCCATTTTAAATCCAAGTAAACTGAGGAACATATTGGTTAAGGAATTTAAAGTCCCATGGCTAGTAAGATTCAAACCAATTCAGTCTGGCTGCAGAGTCCCTGCTAACTACTCAGCTCACTTGCCTGGGGGAAATACAGGAATGACCATCACTAAAAGCATCATATAACTAATAAAGTCCACCATAAGGGAGGGAAACAAACAAACAAACAAAAAGATTCCAAACTAAAAAACTGTATTGCAAACTTTATAAAAATAAAAATATCATACACATCTGCTTCACTAATTATACAGCCTTCTCTGTTAATCTACTTACTGTTGGAAGAAAAGCAGGAAATGCTTTCACAGGAACACTTTTGTGAAAGGACCTAGCCTAAAAAGGAAGAAGAAAGGAAACTGGTTTAAAATATTTCTGCAAATAAACATTCTCCCTCTGAAAGTGAACACAAAGCAACACTGGCAGTTTAACAACATGACTAGGACCTCTCTCAAAATCAAAATGTAGCTCATCTCCTGCCGATTAAGATTAGTTTCCTAAGCCTAAAGGACTCAGGAAAAAGTAACTACTATATTAAAAATTCCATTCTTTCTTATGGATTGGCTTTGGCATTTTCCAATTACCTTACAGCATAACAACTTTGACCCTTTAGCTCTGTGGTAAAGGGTAAAGGAAGAAATACTTGCGTTAACAAGTCCCAGCACCTCCCCAGCTTAGACTGACATTATCTCCTCTTTAGATGAATATAAGATCCTCCTAAGTGATCTTGTTTCTGTGCTTCCCCAACTTTTAATTCTTTCCATACAGCCAGCCAAATTAATGTCCTTACATCATTATTTCATTTTTACTTTCTTTAACTTAACTCCCTAGTAGATCAAATCTCAACTACTCATCTTGGAATTCAAAGGCCTCCACATCTTGACTCTAATCTCATCTATCCAACCTAACTCCCTCCTTCTGAGCTATGCACAGCTGGTCCACTCAGGCTATTTACCCAGCCCACTCTTGTCTCTGTCTTTATTTATATTGTCCCTTTACAGCAAGAAAAGCAGATACTCACTGCCTTTACTTCCTGATTCCCTTCTTAATCCACCACACTCTGGTTTTATCTCCAACCATCTACTAAAATTGCTCTGAGATCATCCATGATTTACTAATCACCACAGCCATCTCTTCTCTTCAATCTCTCTGTGGCATGCAAAACTTTGATATTCTCCTTTCTTGAAATTTTCTCCTCCCTTGGTTTTCAAGATGTTGACTCTCAATTCTCCTGCTTCTTTGACCATTCTTTCCCTCTCCTTCCTAAAAAATGGCCCTTTTGCCTTCTACCTAATAAACGGAGGTGGGAATCAAGGTTTTGCCCTTGGTCCTCTTGTCTAGATGTATGTTCTCCTTGAGTAATACCACCCAAACTTAGACTTTTAACCATAAGCCTTTTATACGGATGATTCTCAAATCTATTATCTCTAGTCTTGCCCTCCTTTGAAAGTCACAATCCTGCATTCAGTAGCCCATCTCCCTAAATGTCCTTTAATTCCCTCAAATTCAATTATGTCCAGCAGCTAGTCCAAAGTCTAATGATCAGAACCATGCATACCACTGTATCTCTGAAAGGCAACATCACCATCTACACTTGAACTCTCTGTGCAGCTTTCAACTTTCCCTCTTCCCAGTCTTGCCACAATCCAATCAGTTATCAAGTCTAGTTGACTCTACTAAGTTGTGTACACATACATACACTTTCACACACACACATAAACATCTACCCTCTCTAAATAAGACATTCTTCCTCCTTTTTCTAAACAAGTTTCCTAACTGATTTCCCAACCCCAAGCCCTCATCTCAAACACTGCTACCAGAGTGTAACACTAATATAACTGCTATACTTGATGCTGCATTCACACACACACATAAACATCTACCCTCTCTAAATAAGACATTCTTCCTCCTTTTTCTAAAGAAGTTTCCTAACTGATTTCCCAACCCCAAACCCTCATCTCAAACACTGCTACCAGAGTGTAACACTAATATAACTGCTATACTTGATGCTGCTGCTGATGATGAAAACTAACTTATATTTCACTTACTATATGCCAGGCACTATTGTAAACTCTTTATATATGTTAACTCATTTATCTAAATAACGCTTTGAGCTAGGTGCTAAAATGATCCTTTTTTAAAGATGAGAAAACTGAGGCACAGAGAGGTTACGATCACCTGATGAGTAAACGGCAGAGCTAGGATCAGGCTTCTGGTTCCAGAGTCTGCACTCTCATTCACCATGCTCTACTGACTTTCAAAACTCTCTAAAGCTCCATAATCTTTCTTCAGTCCACCACTCCAAACCTATTTTCCACGAGTATTTCACATAACCTATAAACCAGTAGTTTTCAAACCTGGTTGTTTAAAATAATTTGGAAATTTTAATTCCTGGCTCCAACGCAGGTTTACTGTATCAATCTCCAGATAGTGAGGCCTGGAGATTTGTTTCTCTCAGGTGCCTTACATCCATCAACTGGTAATACTCAGGTCCCCAAACAAGTCCAGGGCTTTTCTGCCTTGGTGATTCTACAGTCTTCTCAGACCTCACTCCAAACTCTGCTAGCCTTAAGTAATTTCTCATCTGAACTTCCATGTATTTTATCTATACCTCTGTCACACCAGAGAACTGTATTAAATTCTTGAAGAAATTCAAAAGATCCTTAAAATAGAGTCTTTGGTCTCAAAGAACTTACAATCTGATTATTAATTTATTTAATAAATAAATGTGGGTGCCTATAATGTACCAGGCACTTCAGATGCTGAAGAATACAGCACAAAACCAAACAAAGTCCCTTACATCCCATGGAGGGGGGAGGC